TACTACTCCTGCTGCTACTACTACTACTGCTACTTCGCTGCTGCTGCTGCTGCTGATGTTGCTGCGACTGCGACTGCGACTGCGACTGCGACTGCGACTGCGACTGCGACTGCGACTGCGACTGCGACTGCGCCTGCGACTGCGACTGCGACTGCTACCGCTACTTACTGCTACTGCTACTGCTACTGCTACGGCTACGGCTCCTGCTACGGCTACAGCTACAGCTGCAGCTACAGCTACAGCTACAGCTACAGCTACGGCTACGGCTACGGCTACGACGACGAGTCGACGCACGACGAGCACGGCTACACTGACGACTCGTACTGCTGCTGGTCTAGTTACCACAATCTCTCTGGTGTAGATGCAACTGCGCTCCGGTCCTGCCACAGCGAACACTTACTCACACTGGTGAGGCAGCTACGCCCGCCTGGCTGCTGGCAGCGAGCAACTTTTGGAGACCCTTGTCCTTGGTCCCGCAACGGTCACCAAAAATAGGTTGAACAAGGGGTGTGCTCACAGACGGCATCTCGGTTGCAGCATGTTTACGACCAGCGCAACTGTATGTCCTACAAGGCCAGGGTTTTTACGGCTGATCACGGTCCAAGCGTACCAGTGCTTTCGGAGTAGTTTCGACATGTTGGCAAAATGGCGAACCTACAGCGCTTTTGTATGTATCTAAGTTACACGCTCTTTCTCTCTCTGTGTCTCTCTCCCTCTTTCTCTCTCTCTCTGTCTCTGAATCCCGTTCTTGCAGGCTGGTCAGGAAGCACAGGAGGGTACTTATGCGATTGTATTGTATGCTCATGCGTGCTGCTTCTGCAATGGGCCTTCAAACAAGCTTCGTGAGTGTTGCATACGCTTGCTGGCAACGAACACGGTGGTCGAGGGTGCGGATGGCTCCAAAGAGTCAAAGCGCTCTTCCTTCGAGCTTTGCCATCCGCTTCTCTAATCTTTGGTGCGTGCGGGCGGGAGCATGCGCATCTGCCGAGGACCTGCACCCTGACACCTATCTACGACTACGACACAAGGCATCGTGCCTAGGCATGAACAATGGAGCCGTCAAAAGTGTCGATTCAGGTTTCTGCTGTGATATCCTGCGAAGACAAGGACGGTGAAGGCGAAGGCGATGACGCAAATTGTATGGCTGCGGCCACTGCAAGATGAAAATCGTGAAGATAAAGGCGACGACGACCATCATCACCATGAGAATGATGACGACGACCACGATGATGACGATCGCGATGACGACGATCACGATATGGGTGCTGTTTTGTCTGTAGATGCTGCCAACAACTTTTCAGCACACTCCCTAAGCCTTGACAAGACGGTGATGTTGACATTGGTGCTGGTGCTGGTGTGGCTGCTCTGTTGCCGTTTGCACATGGGCACAAGGTCTGAACACGACGATCCGCTGCCGCGGCGCTGAGGAGGACATCACCCGGAATTGCACCAAGTGCAGATTGGCATGCTTGCCCCAGAGTATGCCGCCAGTTCTGGTTAATTCTTAGCCGGCCTCATGATGTGACATGATTTTCGCAACCTCGATTATGCAGGACACCGCAGGGTATACCGGGTCTGCTACTTTGGCATGAAGAAGAGCAGCAAGCACCGTTGTGCAGAGTGAGAAGTGAGAAGTGTATATCATATCGTTGGTGTTTTCCAACCTACTTGTCGGGTACACACCTAAAGATCTAAAGTGGCAGGCCCGTCATGCTGGTTTGAACACCGCATTGTGCTTGTGCTTGCTTGTCGCACGCACTTTTGAATTTCATGCTCTGTTCTTGCACCCCGGAATCGAACGCACCTGATAGATATGAGCGGCGAAACACTCAGGCCCGACTGGACTGCTGTGCAAATTTTAGGGTACTAAACTGCCAAGCTTGAGAGTACCAGATACCGTCAAGGCCGGCAATTCGGGAAGAAGACTCGCTACTGTAGCAAGTCCTGCAGCAACGCCCTCCGACTCGCCACAAACCCGAACAAGCATTGAATTGAATTTTGAATACCTGAAGCCATCAGTAAGTCCAGCAGTCCTACTCGGCTTGCACTTGATGCTAACATTGCATCGCATGTATTTCGACGCCTGCTCTCATCACCGCGTATGCTCCGAGGTAACGAACCGCAGCCATGTAGCGTGGCATGGCAAAAGCCCCTGGATGCGCAAAGAGGGCACGCCACAGACGCTTGGAGCAAGTCTTTTTGATATGCCTCACAATAGCATGGATTCCGGTGCCTTTTCTGATGTTTGCCCAGGTGTATGAACAGATGTATGATGGGAGTATCATGTCCACAGAGTACAAAAGAAAAGGAGAAGCCAGGCTAAGAAGCATCTAATACTGTACGAAATTACGCTCTGCCGTGGCCCATCGAATGTTGGCATAGTCTCGCACAGACAAGCAGCAGCTGGTCATATGTACTCAGCATAGTCTTGGTGCTTAAATCCTACAAGGCCTGTGGATTCGGCGAACACCCCCCACACACAGTTGAGAGGTCCGTAAGCCCGGACTTAGATTCTGAAAGCCAGTTCGGCATAGCTTTGGCGAGCATCGTGCGTTTTTTCATTGGTGCCATTGATATTGTTTTTTGTTTGCATACTGTGCTGGTCCTTCTGTACTTGCTGTGGAGATTCCAAATTCCACTGACTTGGTGAGGTGCATTCTTGAGGCCCACGTCCTGCCTCATGAGATTCACAGCCCGGAGTATCCTAAACCCTAAACCCCTCGCCTGGATTGTCCGAGTGTGAGAGCCGAAACCCTAAACCCTAAACCTTGTGTACTACAGGCGATGTAGGCGTGCAGAGGTGTGATCCTGCCGACTGATGCTCAGGAACCTTGGCCACTATGCAACGTCCAAAGTGAAAAAGGTCCATGTCGCTGCTAAGTGGCACTGTGGTGCAGAGTTTGTGTTTCAGCTCGGCTCGTGTGTCGCGGCTTGGACGTTCTGAGCCTTGTTTGAAGGTTTTCATGAACCATTATGACGTTGGCTATACGGACTACATCAACGGTGTGCAGCTCTTAGCTGGTCTTTGCCGGAGGGGTGTGCTTAATCAAGAAGGAACTCCGCCATCAACAAGCCAAGCAAGCTTACATACCGCTCAGGAGAGATCAGAAGACCAGGCTTTTCTAGTTTAGCAGCCAAAATCTGAGGAACGATAGGGAAGACAGACATGA